CCGGCCACCGCCTCCAGTAGGCCTGACAGGGTGGCTGCTGGTGCGCTAGGTGGCCGGTACACCAGCCAGACAGCCAAGCTCACCTCAGAGCCCCACACTAGGCCAACACATTCAATGCCGGGGATCGATGGCGATGGTAGAGCCCTGAAAGGACAATCTTCCCGGATTAATAATGCCACCCCTCCCCCCCGGCCCACAGTCCGTGACTGGTGGAGGACGGAGAAACCCGGGGGCGCCATCTCTCGTAAGGTAATTGTTGCCCCTTCGCGTACCCAGGTCTCCGTCACACAAGCCAGGTCAACCCCCTGCGAGGTAAAGATGCTTCTCATCTGCCCCTGAGGGGAAGACTGGAACTAATGGATACCAATGACAAGAAATATGATTCTCACTTAACTTTCAGAATAACTTTCTGACAGTAAGAGCTGCTTCACAGTGGAACTGACTCCCTCTGGAAGTGATGGACTCTTCTTCCTTGGAGATTTTTAAATAATAAGAATGATAACACTTTTATTGTTTAAACAATAAATGCCCCAGCCACTCTGGGCAGCTTCCAGCAAAATATAAAAAAAGAATAAAACGTCAGACATTAGAAACTTCCCTGCCTTCAGATGTTTTCTAAAAGTTGTGTAATTCTTTATCTCCCTGACATCTGATGGGAGGGCGTTCCACAGGGAGGGCGCCACCACCGAGAAGGCCCTCTGCCTGGTTCCCTGTAACTTTGCTTCGAACAAATGTTGGCAGTGTGGGGTATCTGAAGGAAACATGTTCCACATGTGGTGGGCATGTCAATAGATTAAAGAGTTTTGGAATGTTATATACGATCAACTGGAAACAATCTTAAAAGTAACATTTCCAAAAAACCCAGAGGCCTTCCTGATCGGAAGGGTAGGCAGAGAGATACCAAAAAAATTAAAAGAATTTTTCTTGTATGCAACTGCGGACGCAAGAATTCCAATTGCTCAGAACTGGAAAGGCGAAAGGGTTATGTCAGGGAACTGCCATTGGAGCTAGAGGCGGAGGGAAGGCTCCAGAGGGATGCCGGAGAGGGTCCCAGTAGGGAGAGAGGCAGCCCATCTGCTGGGGAAGGAAATCAGCGTAACACCAGTGGAGAAGGGGGGCAGATGGGGGAATCGGAGAGGAGGCTCCAAGACTCCTCGCCGGAGACCAGCGGAGAGAGTATGGATCCTCCGCTGCCCACACCCTCCCTGCGCAGAAGGCTTCCGCGCAGGGAGACTAGGCGGAGACTAGGCGTCAAGGAATTTTTGTGCTAGAAGAAGTTCAAGAAACGCCCACTGACGGATTCTGCCAGTGACTGAGACAGTCACGATGCTAGAGGCTGTTCAGTCAGAAAGGGTTCAACCAGGTAACCTAGCCAGGAGTGGCGGCAACTTACACACGAGCAACCCCTAAACCCATTACAGCAATCCGTCAGTCCCCGACGTTGCTTGTGTGCAGCTCCAGAGAGGCAGCAAGATAGGCCAGACCAGAGGAGCCGGAGAGACGGAGCAAGCAGCTGGAGTGCAAAGTCTGGTAGAGAGAAACCGAGACTTGGAACAGCATGTAGCTCTCCTGACGGTGCGGCTGGACGAAAGACGAGCTCAGGATGCACAGGTCAGACCCACCCCCATCGCAAGGAAGGTACCGGGCTGGTACACAAGTTTGGGGGGAAACCCCAGGACTACAATGCGTTCCGAACAGAAATAGAATATGCTTTGGAACTGCAGCATAAGGATTTTGCGGACGATGGGCAGAGGGTAGCCTACATTGTGGGGCATCTGGAGGATGGGGCACGGGAATGGATCAGGCCCCTTATGGTGACGCAAAATCATGCCTTGAAGGACCTTAGGAAATTCTTCCAGGCAATGGATGCGGTTTATTCCAGTGAAGTGCAGCAAAGTGTGACTCGGCGAGAACTGATGGGGTGCAAGCAGGGGAGCCAGTCAGTTAGAGACTACTGGTCGCACTTTGCAATGTTGATCCACCGGCTCGGGTGGGATCTGGACTCTGAACCTATTCAAATGTTGTTTGAGGAGGGGTTGTCCCCAACGGTGAAGGACGAGCTGTCCCGCACGCCCCGCCCACAGTCGATGGATCAGCTGACCAAGGCTGTGCTTGCGATTGGAGTGTGGCAGGAAGCGCGGGCTCAGGAGAAACGCGAAGTGAGAGGGGAACATTGCCATGACTACCGCATTCCTGAAATACCGAAACAGCTTTCCCAGGCGGCTGAGCCAATGGAAATAGATGGCGCGCGTGTGCGCGAGGTTTCAAACTCTAGTGAAGGTCGCAAGAGGGAGGGAAAGTATTGGAAAACCACCAAGAAGTGTTTTCTCTGCCAACGGCCGGGACATTTTGCCAGGGTCTGCCCTCAAAGAAAGGTCTGGCAAGGGATGGTGGGGGCTGCTGGCTGTGAGGAGAAGGGGGAGGAAGGGCAGGCGCAGGGAAACGACAACGCCTGGCTGCCAACTAGCGGGGCCAGCAGCCAGGCCAGCAACCAATAGAAGTGCCCCAACCGGACCCCCCAGGGCAGCTATAGCCATAGAAGTGGTGCTAGAGCTCCCGAATGGGCACCCAGTCAAGGTTGAGGGGCTGCTGGATTCGGGCAGCTCCTGCAATTTCTTCAGCAGGGACTTCGCTCTGGAGCACCAGCTCCACCTGCTGCACCTGGATTTCCCCTTGCAAGTGACCACCATCGATGGCAGGGAACTTCTGGGAGGGGAAGTGACACACCAGACCCCGCCAATGCGAATGAGGGTTTCCAGGCACACGGAGACCATTGCCTTTCACATGGCCACACTGGCAGGACCCCCAATAATATTGGGAATGAGCTGGCTGGCACTGCATGATCCAGTAGTGTCATGGCATCAGCGGTCAGTCACCTTTGGGTCAGCTTACTGCTTGGAACATTGTCTGGGGGGGGGATACCCCAAGAATGACAGTGGCCAGGGTGGCGGGGCTGGGGGTGGAAACAAAAGGGGAGGTGCCACCACAATATGCTGACCTAAAGGAAGTCTTCAGTGAGAAGGAGGCGGATAGACTACCCCCCCATAGGCCCTTTGACTGCCAAATCAACTTGCTCCCAGGGGCTCAGCTGCCGGTGGGTAAGCTGTATGCCATGTCTGACCGGGAGATGCAGGAGTTGCGGCAGTTTATTGACAAGAACCTGAAGAGGGGGTTCATAAGGGAATCAAAGGCGGTGGGGGGCAGTCCGGTGTTCTTTGTGGACAAAAAAGAGACTAATCAGCCTAGATTAGTCGTAGATTACCGGGCGTTAAACCTGGTATCAGAACCCGTGACCTTCCCTTTTTTTTTTTTTTAAATGATATTTATTGAAAGTTTTTTAGAATTACAAAAGAGAACAAAGCAGAAAAAGAGAAAGAAAAAACAAAGAAAAAACAAACCACATCAAACAATACAAATTCAAAAAACAAAAATACACCACAAACACTCAAAAACAAATCCATCATTCTCAAATCCTCAACTGTCATTACCTTCTTTCTTTGACCTCCTCCTCCTCCCTTTTTTTGTATCCTAGTTGTTAACTGTCGCAGCAAATCCTTTCCATATTTCATAATATTCTGTCATTACATTACCTTAATCTATTTTAATCTTATCTTACTATAAAGAACCTTAAAACTTAAAACTTGATTCTTATTTTTACCAACTTCTCATAACCATAATATTCTTACATAATTCTTTTTTTTTTTTAAAATCATATTTATTAAAGTTTCCAAAAATATAAAAATACAAAGAAAAAAGACAAAAGAAAAAAGATATTTAAAAACCTTACTTTCATTCCCTACTTTCTGGGACTCCCCCTCCCCCAATTGTATTCCCCTTTCCTTAATTTGGTTCTACAAGCTCTCACTCCCAATTTAAAGCTTAATTTGTTTAACCCACTATCCAGATTGAATTGTACAAATCTTACCACCGTCCCACATCATTAACAGAAAAAGAAAAAAAAAATTTCCCCAAGATCCACCCCAGTTCCTTCCACAAATTCCCTTTTTTTTTTAAACACGTCCGATCAAAGTAAAATAACATGCGTAAGTTATGTAAAGAAATAGAAAATAAGAGATATAGAAAAATTCAAAAGATGGTTACACAGCCTTTGGATTTCAAATCTCCCCCCCCCCTTCCCCGGTTTGAATTCCCCATATCCATCAGTCTATACATTATCAGCTTGGAAGTCTCATTTCATGACCAGATTTCTCCCGATTCCATCTTGCCGGTTTTCTTTTAGTTTATTAATTTAAATAATATTTGACTTCAAATGTCCAATCTAACAAAGGCCTTTAATTTCCTTGATCTTTACCACTCCTCCCGTTGTTCTTTCCGTGTCGTAATCAGTCCTTTATTCTTCTTATTCCTCACTTTCTCAGGTTTCTTGTCCTGTTCAGCTGCTAAAACTTTCTAATTCAGAAATCTAGTGTCTCTGCAGAGGTTTGTTATTCAGGAACAAAAACTTACGTCCAGTCCCTTTCTTTCTTCAATAAAAATTCCATTGTCTTCCTCTGTAGACAAAATACTCTTTCAGTTTTGCAGCTTTCCCAGAAGATAACAAATCCTGTGCGAATCCCAGGGTATTTTTCCACTTACGACCGTTCTTGTAGTATCCCGAAACCCCTCTAGGGGATTGTAATAACTTTGTATCCTCTAATCCAAAAGTCAAATTGTTGCTTATTTTCCAACAGTTTATATCCATATTATAGCAAATTGTAACAAAATTAACCAGCAAGGTCCTCATAAAGTCCTCTTTATATTCTCCAGCTTTGACAGCCACTTTGACAGCTGTCAAAGTCTCCGTCTCTCTTCACCAGGCTCCACGAATCGCCCCGGTTCCCAGGGGGGGGTTTGCATTTTTCTTCTCACCCTCCACTCTTCTCCTCCAGCACATTTCTTGTAATTTCCCATCGTGAAATTAATGATTTTTATCAGAGACATACTTCCCTTTGGACCTTGGTTACCCAGTCTTTGTTTTGGAATGCTTACAATAGGGGGGGGGATTGACTTCCTTTTTAAATCGCCCCCGCTCGTGCCAAATCCAAAATTTTGAACCCGGTTTCCCAATTACTCACGGGTTGTTGTTAATAGTCCAAATTTTCAATAGAAGAAGTCAGCGCTCTCCGTCGAATGGCATGCGGCTGCGCTCGGCAGGGAAAGCAGTGGACTCAAAGCACCACGCCACTCCCCGGCACCCGATCCGAAGCCTTTAAAAAGGCTCCTTCACGAGTCGGGAGGGCGCTAATGGTGCAAGCCGAGTCACCCATGTCCACGGACTCCGTGCCCGTGGTTTTTAAGGGTCCCCGCGTCGCCGGCGCGGTAGGACCCAGCCCCTGCCGAGCAGACTCCCTCCGGAGCTCGGAGGGAGTCCGCCATTCGGCGATGGCGCTAACCCGGAAGTCTATTCTTACATAATTCTTTAAACATTTTTGCTAAAGCCAAGTAATTTTGTTCCAACATTTTTCTAACATTCATCAATTTTATAAAACAATCCTAATAGTAAAAAAAAAGAAATAAAAACAATCCAATCTTCATCCAGTGTCCCTTCCTCCTGGTCCCGGGTTTTGTCAGTCCTTATTATCCCATCGATCTAGCGCATTAACCTGGTAACCTTGTATCCAAGGCCCTTAAGTCTCTTCCATGTCCCTTCCGCGGCTCTTCTTCATATTTATAACTGTATTTTCCTTTGTCTCCTGCTCCTTTCACTCGTGGGATCTCCAGCTTAACAATGTTTTTAACCCTTCTCGACAAATCAGCCCCTTTTCCATAGTCCACACCACATAGTCCATGTGGTATTTAAGAACATGTTTCAAAAACCCTCCAAAATTAAGAGCCCCCACAACCCCAAAGATCTCACGGCCTATTGCCAGACTTGAAAAGTCCAAACATCCCTGCATAGGGGGGTCTATCCAACCCCCCATTTCCAAACCAAACCAAACTTATCTTTCCAAATCTGGCTTTTTCCAAGTTCATTTGTCAAATCCAAAAGCTCATGTTCCTGCTGGGCCACAACTCCCTCCGTCTCTGGCGCCCAAGATTCAGCAACATCCTCTTCCCTCATCTGTTCCGTCAGGGCACACTCCTGATTTAATTCCTGGGTGGGCTCCATATAATTTCCCACTGCCTGTTCAAAATTTCTAATCGCATCAGTCATCAAATCCGTCTTCTCAGGTAGCTGTTCCAGTAGGGCATTTGTTTTGGAGAAAGCACACAACAGAGCTTCTGAATACATTGTCCTGCAAGGTCAGAAGTCTATTCCCACGATTGTAATCTGTAACAGCTGCAAGCTCCCCGGAGTTGGTTACAGTTTCACAGTCTCCCTCTAGGGGGAAAACTTCTATTTGTTCTTTCTTTTAAAGACAAGTCTAACAACAAAGTTTCCTTTTTCAGATATTTTGTCAATATTTGTTCCTTTAAAAAGCGAAGGGAACAATGGAATCAATGTTTCTCTTCTTATAGCTATCTGTCAAAAGCGTTTGTCTCTGGTCAATGAGCTTCAAAAAAGTCAGTCCTGACACCCCGCTCCAGGATCAGGACGGTGGAAAGTTACTTTACTTTACACTCACTTCTGCAGGTTTAAACAGTCCGAAAAAATCCCCCCTCTTCCCCTGCTTCCGAAGGGGGTTCAACAATTTTAAATGGTGAAAGTTAATCTTTTACAAGCGATTTTCTGTGCTCTAGTTTGCCATGTCTTTGCTTTAATCTATCTACAAAGAAACGGAAGGCTGACTTCCTGTTTAGACCTTCCCGTTTCAGTGCCAAATTGAGGTAAACTTTTAAGTCCAATTTTCCTTTCTGCTCACAAGTCCTTATTTAAAGTCCAATTGTCCGAGTTTAAGTACTCACGGGTGATTATTTTAGAAGCCAAATTGTCCCAGGAAAAAGGCAGCGCTCTCCGGCAACGGCTGTGCGGCTTCGCTCCACGGAAGAAGCAGTTAACTCTCAGCACCGCGCCACTTCCCCCTCTTCGCTCCGGAGCCCGTTAGTGGGTAGAACCCGTGACCTTCCCAATGCCCAGGATTGACGACATTTTAACACGGGTGAGGCAGGGGAAAAATTTTACCAAGCTGGACCTCAGGGGAGCGTACAATTTGATTAGAATAAGGGAGGGGGACGAATGGAAAACCACCATATTCACCCCCCTGGGGGCTTTTGAGTACTTAGTCATGCCATTTGGATTACAATCGGGCTCTGCCTGCTTTCAAGCATTCATGCACCACGTGTTGGGGCCCCTGCTGTACAAGAACTGCGTAGCCTTTTTGGACGACGTCTTAATCTATTCGGACAATGAGAAGCAACATGTCAAAGACGTCAGGGAAGTGCTGAAGAGACTGCAGAAGCACCAGTTGTGGGTCAAGCTGGAAAAATGCCAATTTCACACCAGAGAGGTCGAGTTTCTGGGGTACAAGTTGTCAGACAAGGGCCTAGCTATGGACCCAAGCAAGGTGCAGGCAGTGCTGGAATGGAAGGCCCCGAAAACCCGGAAGGATGTGCAGAGGTTCCTAGGGTTCAGCAACTTCTACAGGAAGTTCATCAAGAACTTCGCCCACTTGACAGCGCCCATCACAGATTGTCTCAGTAGCAAAAAGAGGTTCACCTGGACAGAAAGTGCCCAGCAATCCTTTGAAAGACTGAAGAAGGCGTTTGCTTCGGAGGAGCAGCTCCTGCATGTTGATCTCGAGAAGCCCATGAGGCTGGAGACCGACGCGTCCGACCGAGCCATTGGGGCGGTACTTTTGCAGCCAGGGGCCAAGCAGGGCTGGAGGCCGTGTGCCTTTTTCTCGAGGAAGCTGAGCAAGTCGGAGCAAAACTATACGGTGTATGACCGCGAACTGCTTGCGATCTATGCGGCGTTTCGCCGATGGAGACATCTGTTAATAGGGGCGCAGCACAAGATCCAGGTTTGTACTGATCACAAGAACTTGGAATACTGGAGGACCGTGCGAGTACTCAACCAGAGACAGATTCGGTGGGCACAGGAGTTCTCCAAGTTTTCCTTCGAGATCCGATATGTGCCGGGAGAGGAAAACGTAAGGGCAGATGCTCTCTCCCGGAAGCCGGAGTACATGGAAGGAGAGGGACCGCCGGAGATACGACACGTGATCCCCGAGGACCAATGGGTGTGTGGGGGAGCGTTGGTTGGGAAACGAGAACTGGCCGGGCTTACTAGAAACGACGTGTTCGCTCAAACTAAAATCAGGGAACTCCGAGACAGAAGGGAAAACCATGGAGGGTTTGAGGAAAAGGAAGGGCTGCTGTACTATAAGGGGGCGCTGGATGTACTGGGGGAGACCTTGAGGAGGAAAGTACTCAAACAACTCCACGACAACCCAACAGCTGGGCACTTTGGACAGCACAAAACCATGCTGCTCGTCACCAGGCAGTTCTGGTGGCCAAGGGTGAGGGAGGATGTACGGGAATATGTACGGGGGTGCGACCGCTGCCAAAGGGCAAAGGGGGAGCGGGCTGCCCCCGCAGGATTTCTGGAACCCTTACCCACGCTGGGAAGACCCTGGGAGGTGGTGTCCATTGATTTTATGACAGATTTGCCCAAGTCAAGGGGGAAGACAGCAGTCATGGTAGTAGTCGATCTCCTGACGAAGATGTGCCATTTCATATTTTTTTTTAGAATTGATATTTATTAAATTTTCAAAAAGTAACAAGTAACAACAAAAATTTCCAAAAAAGTTTGAAAATACAAATAAAACAAAAATAATACAGAAATAATAAAGAAGAAAAAACCCAGCCGCAAAAAGAAAAAAAGAAAAACAGAAAAACAGAAATATAAAATCCTTTACGATCTCCATTAACTTCCTTTCTAGACTTCCTCCTCCTTCCCTCTCTTGTTTCTTAGTATTTAATTTTTACAGCAAATCCTTTCTGTTTTTCATAACAATCTATCATTGCGTTTCCTTATTCTATTTTCCCTCTTGTCATATAAAAACTTTAAAACTCAAAGCTTATATTCAATATTTAGCAAATTCTTACATCATTACCCTTTTTCAAATCATTTACCAATCCTTACTTAAGTCATATAATTTCATTCAACATCCTTCAAACATTTATAAACATTCCCAATATTAAAAAATAAGAAAGCAAAAACAATAAGTCAGATTCAATCCAGTCAACTTCCAGCCTCCCCTCCCCTGGACCCGGGATTGTCAGTCCTTTTAACCTCAATAATCCGGCTCCTTAACCTGGTTGTCTCGTATCCGAGGCCCTCAAGTCTCTTTCTTGCCCCTTTCGCCACTCTTGTTGATATTTCCCTTTCAGTCGTGGATACTCCAGCAAGAAGATGCTTTTGACTCTTTGCAGCAAGTCCATCCCAAACCCATTACCCAAGCCAGACAGCAGATAATACCACTTCCAATTTCCACAAAACTTGGAGACTTCGACTACTCCAATCCTCTGATGGCCCATCACTAGACTCGGAAAGTCCAAATAACCATATAGAGGGGTGTCAATCCATCCCCCCATTTCCAAATCTGACCACATTTCATCTTTCCGAATCAGGTTTGTCCCAAGTTCATTTATCAAGTTCAAAGACTGATCTTGCCCATCCATAGGTCCCTCCATCTCTGAAGCCTCCGTCGCTACAGCAGGTTCATATACTTGTATAGACTTTAACTGAATTTCATTTGTTTGCTGCTGTGCTCTGGTAACTTCCGTCCTCATCAAGGTCGACTCCTGACGCATCTGGTCCAGCTGGGCACTTAATTTTGCAAAACCTTCCAGGAACACTTGTTCAAGCCTTTGTACAAGCATTGTCCTTCCAGGTCAGACAAAATTCTTTCCCACGAGAATAATCCTTCTCTTTTAAACTCTCTGCATTGCAATTTCACTCAGTTCCACTAGATGGAAAACCCTTTTTTTTTTTTTTTTTTTTAAGAGGGGGAAAAACAACAGTAACAATCTTTCTTTTTCCAGAAACACTTTATCCAAAATTCCCCCTTTCAAATTCAAGAGGCAACAGTAGAATCAAAATGTTACCCTTCTTTTAACTATCTGTCGAGCTGGATAAGCTTCAAAACGTCAGTTCTGACAGCCCGCTCCTGGTTCAGGGCGGTGGAAAATTACTTTATTTTAAACTCACTTCCGCAGGGTTGAAAAGATCAAAACAACCCCCTTCTTCTCCTGCAATCAAAGGGGGTTCAGAAATCTTAGATGTTGAATTTTAGTTCTCTCAGAATTTAGTTTTCAGGCTTTAGTATAATTTGTCTTTGCTTTCTTCACGTAACAAAAGAACGGAAGGCGACTTCCTGTTTAGACCTTTCCGTTCCGAGTCCCAATTAAATTCAATTTCAAGTTCAAGTCCAATGTTATTTATTTATTCACCAATCTTAAAAGTAGTTCAGCTCTTCCAGGATCGGGTACTCACGGATAGATGTTTTAGATGCCAAAT